AAATATACTGGGTCAGGGAAAGGACAGGAGGTCAGACTTCGTGAACTGACACACCTTTGTTGTTCGTCAGGGACGTGAAGTTGAGACCCAGAGCTCTGTAATTTTATTCCTTTACTGCTTAATAAACTACATTAACTGAGACCGAATATCTTCTCCTATTGCTTCATTAAAGAACACGCAGGACTGAGCTCACACATAGCACATTAGAGAGTAGGATGAGACTCTTAGTCCAACAACTTACACTTGCTATTTTGAGTAAACAGGTGTGGTCACACTGAGAGGTATGGCAAGATGCAGTGCACTATGAGTACCTGGATGGTCCACTCATACAGTCAAAATGTTGAGTGTGGAACAGTGGACACTTCCCAGCCTCATCATGTTGCCTATGTAAATAAAGGGGCTGGACCACAAACATTTCAAATTTGTGAAATGTCGACTGAGTACTGGGATGAACACTGAAGGATTGTACAGATATACATATGTACAGTATTTTTCACGACCACTATACTGGCGTCAGGTAGAAGCCATCACTTTGTTGATTGGGTTAATTCTGTGATAATTTGATATCACAAATGAAAATGCAAATGCTAATGTTAGCTTGCTAGCAAGATAACAACGGCACATTTTATCGTCAGGCATTGACATTACATAATATGTGGCTTAAAGATTCAGTGTGTACGATTTAGGGGGATATATTGGCAGAAATAGAATATAATTAGTTTGTTTTCTTTAGTGTATAATCATGTGAAAATAAGAACAGTTGTTTCTTTCTTATCATAGAACTAGCTGTTTATAGCGACATAGGGAGGGGGGTCGTTGTTTATGGATATCACCATGTTGCACAACCATGTTTCTACAGTAGCCCAAAATGGACAAACCAAACACTGGCTCCAGATAAGGCTATTCAAATTTTTGTGTCGACCTCTGTACTTACAAGCCCAACTGCAATGAGCAGTTTTGGTTTGTAATTTGGAACTGTTTTATTCAGTGTTTTTACCAGTTTAAATCACTGGGTCTGTTTGTTTTGGAGAGGAAATGCCTCGGCTCCTACTAAAAACCTTCTGAACATCTAGATCTTCAGTTGTTGGAGAAAAAAGATGAGCACACTTTGACAGGTACTGGTCTAGCCGCCCCCATCGACATGTTAAACCACGTAGGAGATACACAGTTTTGTATTGCGAAACCGCTTTATTCAGTGAATTTACCAGTTTAAATCCCTGGTTCAATTTGTTTTGGAAAGGAGGAGACCTCTGTAGATAATACGCCTCATGGTAAAAACCTCCTGAACGTCTAAATCATAGCTTTTTTTGGGCGAGCCACCCGTTTCTGAGAGGCCAAACAGCGTCAGAGATAAAGTGATTTGTAACATGAAACTGCTTTTGTCAGGTCCCATACAGTTGTTTAGTTTGTTTGGTCTCTGACTTCCTGTTTTATTTTGTTTGGATTCCCTCACTTCCTGTTTGTGTTCATTCTAGGTGTCTTGACTCCCTTTGTGTGTGATTGTCCATTGTCTTCACCTGTGCCTCATTATCTCCTCCCCTCATGTGTATAAATGCCTGTTTCCCCCAGTGTGTCTTTGTCAGATTGTCTGCATCATTGGTGAGTAGCTTTCTGGCAGTTTCCTCATGTTCCGACCCTGTTTTTTCCCTTGAGACCAGTTTAACCTAAGCGTTCTGTACTGTAGCCTTATCCTTATGGTTTTTGACTCTTGCCTGTTTTTTGGACTAGCCTTTCTGCCTTGTGTTTTTTGTACGTCTGCCTGAACTGACTGCCTTTTGTGTACCGACCCTGGACTATTGAATAAACTGCCTCACTACACCTGTCTGTCTCTGGTCTGCTCTGTGGGTCCCAGTTTTGTCTGTCTGAACCTGACAACTTTATTCTGTGTTTTTACCAGTTGTTGTTTTGTTTTTTTTAATTGAGAGTATGCTTCACAATGAACCCTTCACAAGATGGAATTAACACAGTAGATCTTAAATATCCAAAGAGCACCTGTATGCGACCCCGCAGTGCCTCGACTTATTTGTCTTCAGGTTACAGTTGGGGTGACAGTTTGCACCATGAGTTAAGTCATATACACAGTTAGTGTCGAACATAAAGTTGTGCTAAGGTGAAATAAAGAGCATTTCCCAGTTCAGAATAAATCTCTTGCCTTATATTAGTCTCGCAATTGAGAAACCTAAGGTTGTATAATATAAAAAAAGGTTTTAAAATGTGTACTCAATGTTTTTATCATCATATGACATGGAATTAAATGCTCAAACAACAACAGAAAAGGTTATGTTAAACTGACATAAATGTCTCAAACAAGGGTCATGTGACAAATTTATTTTGTGTTTAAATTCCTGTATTGTACTAAACTAAAAATATTGAGCGCAAGCTGTCTCCAAAAAACTTTTGAGTTGAGTGAGCAAATCAGGGTTTATGGTGTGGAAGTAAAAAAAAAGGAGAACTTCAAGAAATCTAATTTCCGGGGCATTGGTAGAGCAGTGGGTTGTGCCGGCGCCCCATGTACGGAGGTGATGCCTCGCTGCAGGAGTCGCAGGTTCGACTCCGGCTTGCGATCATTTCTGCATGTCACCCCCCGCTCTCTCTTTCTCAAAAGGCCAAAGGCCCAAAAAAAAGGCCCAAAAAAGATTAACAATGCATTCACCTCATATATCATGACATGCCACTCTCCCCTACATTATATTAAATCAACTGCTT